GTTTAGCCAAGAGAATTATTTGGCCCAACTCTTCTAAGTCCTACCTTAGGGAACATATTATTGCTATGGTAACATGGTTGAAGCTTTTGTTAGTTAAGCTCAAGATAGGAATTATATTCTTCAAAATATGTATTTGGAGCAGAACTTATTAAAATAATCACTATTTATTCTGCAGATAATATCTTCAGGCAGGCTGGACACCATCTGTCACAGTCTGATTTAATTTTATGGTTGTAGAAAAGTGAACTGACAGAGTAGAAATTTTCACAGAAGTCAGCTGGAAGTATGTCATGGTTTTCAGGAAAACCTGTGAAATATTGTAAATGGTGGTTATTTGTTCACGTTATGTAAAAGGAGAAAGTACTTATTTGGGGGATGTGTTGATTTTGGTTTGTTTGCATCCTGAAACAAGTTTTAATTCTGTTTAGTGCTCTATTGTACTGGAATAATTTATAATTGAATCCTTGATACATGCCTTATGTATCTCTGCAGGGAAAATTGAGCATGAAATCATTTGCTCTGGAAGAATTATTGAATACAGGAAATGGCAATTTTTAAAATTAAATAAGACTGGAGCAGGTTTTGCGTTTACCTTCAGATGGCGATTTAAAATTACAATTGTTTTATTTTCCATAGTGAGCATTCAGTTTATGGCACCTTTTAGCATTTTATGCAATGTTTTATGTTACTAGGATAATAAAACCCTTGTGATAAATTTATTCAAAATGAAATTAGTGCATTTTAGGGTATATTTATTTGCTAGGGTTTAGAGTGCATAAAGCTCTTGACAGTAAACAGACCACTGAGGGTGTTTCAAAACTAGCATTAGTATTGTGTGCTGAAATCACTTTCTTGATATGTGTGTCATCAAATAAGTAAGTACTAAAGCTGCAGATGAAATAGTTTCATGACCAGTAAGAAGGTCCCATTTCTCTAACAATTGTATGTATTAAGTTCATTCTCTTTGTTGAAGCGAGCACTTAGCAGTCCGGTTTTTCACATCTAATTCACTGCCTAATGGAGTACCTGTGCATCCTTATATTTGATATATTTATGGGCTTTGGATCAGGACTTCCTTTTTCTAATTATGATGAATGTAAATACTTGAACCTTTCTAATTGATGTATTCATATGCGTACGTGCATGTGTATATCGCTCCAGTGTTTATCTTGTTGCTGCTTAATGTATATCTGCTAAGATTTATCTTATACAAGACCTTGATTTAGAAATGTATGGGTAACGAATAGCCCTCTTGACTTGAAGAGACTTCTTTTTTTCAGAAACCGCTCCTTTCCTCTACCACATATAAACCAAGTTTTCAATTTCTAAAAAATACATTTCTGTAAAAAACATTCCAGAGTAGTTGTCTGATTTTGCAGTTGTCTGTATGATGTACGAGGAGCTGATCAGTATAACCCCTTAGGTTACTGTTAATCGGTCTGTCTTTTGTGAATTCTTATGATTCATCTGTTATGCTGATTCACTGTCTCTTTTGTTTAAAAGCCTTCTTATAAAAAAAAATAAATCAAGTGAACTTGTTCAACAGCCATGGCCTGGCCTGTGATACTATTGCCTGTTAGCTACCAGACTTTGTCTCCAGTTATACTTGATAATTGCAGCAGCTCTGTATCCATCAGGCCACATGAAGTTACTGTTTAGATTGTGCTTTTCAACAGCAGAGTTAACCAGAAAGCAGTCAGTCATAGTTATTTCCCTGTCTCGGTTTAGTTCTGTTACGTTTGTACGTCTGATAACAAAGTTAAAGAAATCTTTAGATTGCAATGTATTCTTCTTCATGGTATAACAGTGAAGATGTAGTAGAAGAAAGGGGGGTGAAAGAGGGGCAGTAGGAACATGTGCAGCTTTCTCAATTTTTCCAAGAGACTCTCTCAGCCATTAGTGTAATAGTCGTGGAAAATGTAATAACTTTAAAGGCCTTTTGATGGAAATGAGAACAAAATCCAACATAACTTTTCATTTTGCTTGAAATGAAGTCCAGGTCAACCTTCAATAGTAATTATTCTTGAGAATATAATCAATAAAAGCATTGAAAAATTTTGGATTTTCATAAAACTGCCGAAGTTCAATACAGCAGAGGGTTGTACTGAAGGCAAATGAGAGCTGCAAAGAAAAAAAAAAGTTTCATGTATTGAGTCCTCAAGCTTGAGAAATAACTTTGGAACAAAGGAACTCTTAGATTTGATGGGCACTTGGATTTGATGGGCATTTGATTACATGAGGCTGGAATCAGAAAACTTTGGCTGAAAGTGATGTTGAGAAAATACTTCTAGCTTTAGCACTGAGTTGAATGAAGATATTTCTTCACTAGCATTTAGTTTTAGTAGCCTTAATGTTTACCATCCAGAAGAATATGACCTTTGTAAGGCAGATAGAGCTGAATGGCATGTGTAGCAGCTCCTAAACCATGACCCAGTGCTGTAAACTACTGCTAGTTTCAGGGTATTTTAATATGCTGGACTGTGAAATGGAGCAATTAGGGAGTTGCTACATTCATCCTTCTTTTTTGTGTGTGTAAATGTAGGACTGAACGCGTTCTCCGAACCTCAGTGCTCCCAGTTCTCATGAAAATCAATGGCAGGAGGGATATACAGTCTACTGTTAGTCTCCTGGGCTGCAAAATGTATGTACCTTTTTTGGAATTCACATTTAAAGGAAAACAAGATGAGGTTTTATACTAAAAAATGACCAACACTGAGTGATTTAGAGGCACAAAGTAGGGGTACAAGGGCTTGGCTGAATGAATTTAATTGGCTCATGGTGACCTTTGTAGCTGTATTCACATTGTCAAAATCTGCTTCAGTCCAGTTCGTCTTAAATTTAGATCGTACCCACTTATAGTTTTGACTGTCATGGACGGCATATCTGCCCTGCAGTTAAGACTGGGCACATATTCTGGGAAATGGGTGCCTGAAATTATTTATTATTTACTTTATTTGTGTCTGACCATTACAGTGTGTCTGAGCCCTGATTCCAGGCTGGAATGCTTTTTATGGCCTCTTGGTATATCTTGCCCCAGCCAGTAAGCCATCTCAGCAGGACACCAGAAAAAGTGGACTGTAATCATTTAAGACAGTATGGAGTGAAATGCTAGTTTAGCAGTTGAGCTTGAGGAAGCAGCATCCTTTCATCAGAAAAAGCCACATCTGAAAAGATGGTATTTCCCATTAGATGTTTTCCCAAGAACAATTATCCTAATTACACTCCAAAGCCTCTGCAAGAGCTTAGGCTCTTTTGTTTCCTCTCCCACAATCCCAGTCACCCAGTTGCATAAAATGCTACCACCCCTTGCCCCATCTGCACCAATGAGTGGTCAATTAATGCTTTCCAAAGGTATTCTCCATTCTACTGACTCACACAACAGCTTATTGGGGGGTTTTGTTTGTTTGTTTGGGTTTTACCAGAGAAGTATTTTTTAAGAATTATCTTGAAATTTTTAGGTAATAAAATATGTGTATGTGTATGTGTATGGACTTATTTTTAAGAAGAAAGATCCCCCATTTCTCCAGAATAGTAATAAACCCAAATATATATGTGTAAGTTTACAAGGCCAGGCTGGATGGGGCTTTGAGCAACCTGGCCTATCAGAAGTTGCTCCTGCCCATGGCAGGGGGTTGGAACTGGACGATCTTTAAAGTCTCTTCTAAGCCTCACCATTCTATATAAATTTACATATGGCTGCTGTAGTGGAGACTTTCACCAAATAAGCATAAATCTGTAATAGGTTTTTTGCAATACACAGACACCCCACGGAAGAGGTTGATGTAGACTTTACTCAAAGATGTAATTTCATTCTGGTGTTTTGTTTACAATAGTGTATTTCTAGTATCCTCTTGAAGGAGACTGTAAGCACAAAAGAAATAATTTTTCAGGATATTCTTTTGTGTTATTCTTTAGGATTTGGAAGGGATGAAGCCTCTCTTGGGGTGAAAGGAGGCTCATTGGAGGGAGCAGTTACCCAGCCTGAGTTAGATAATGACCGAGTTTCAGCTCATACAGGACTGTTTGGCTGTAGCTGTAGTAAAGCCTGTGGCATATTCAAGCCACTGACAGGAAACCTGCAGCAAGTTCCTTGGAGCACTTCTTGACTGATGTATTTGATATTCTGAATTAAATGGTTTGTTTTTCAAAGAAGTACTCCAGGAAGTTTGAATTTCACTATAAATATATCTAGCTAGCTCTTATCCCAGAATAAATCTCATGGAAATCCAGTTCAGTGTTGGTGCTTTCCAGTGTACTTTCTTCGCTGTTTAGTGTAGATGAGAGGAGACATCCTGCAGTTTGATGTGTTCAGAAGAAATATCATCAGCATAACTTTTCAACTTTGAGAGCACCAGAAATCATTACCAGCTCTGCTGGTTCTGTGAGCTCTAAATGCAATAGTACCTCTGTATAATGGGATCTTTTAAAGGTGGCAAGTTTTAGTTTGGGGATTTGGAGCATTCTAGTAGTGGGCGCAACATACTGCTAATGGTGAAATATCTAGTGGCTCCTTGGGCTTCAAAGGGACTCTGTTCTTAGAGTTGCATTGCTTGTTTGTGTGAGGAATAGCTGTATTCAATAGCTGTGAAGGAGATGTGTTGTGATTTATTTATTAATTTATTTACACACACGCACCACTGTCCATTCCCTGCAGAAACTTAAAATGAATTTGAAACATTTAGATTTTTCTATTTAGGGTGATGGGCATTTGTGCTTTTGTATAGCAGCTAATGCAAACAAAGGACCATATCTACACTGCTATTACTACCTCTTCTCTGTACTGACTAGCTCCCTAATGCTGCAGATGTCCGAGCCGCTGCTGTTGGTGAGTGCTACAGAAGACTATTCTGCTCCCCTTTGCAGTCTGCTCTATCCCCTGATTCACCAGGAGATACTGTAGCTGTGGCTGCAGATTAGACTTTTCTCTCCCTCCCCCTGTGAGACCTCTGTGTGCTTTGACGTCATGTGTGCTCCTTTCAGTTGCCATAGCAGCCCCATTCCCCAAGCTCTCTGCCTGTCTCCTCTGGTAGATTCCACAATGGTACAGCCAGCATCACGCTGCACAATGGTTTCCAGGCAGTGAAAGAGCGTGATTCAGCAAGCCACTCTTTTTTTTTTTCCCCCCTTTTTTTTTCCTTCCTTTATTTCATTATTATCAGACATTTTGCCTCCCCTTTTTCTGTTCTGCTCTACCCTTTCCCTCAGACATTCATTTAGTTCTTTAAATGAAAACAGTGATTTACCTTGAATCCAGCTGCCCATCTTTTTATTTTTTATTATTATTATCATCATAAATAACCCATTTTTTTCTTGCCACTGTTTGGAATGTGATTTTAAAAATACCACCTACAGTCGCAGTCTGGGGGAAAGGTTTCTGGACGAGGAAAATAGCTCGCAAGCACGGAATGGTAGGTGGTTGATGCTAATATTCTATGACTAACTGCTTTCGCAGGGTGGGGTGATGAATATTGATTGCTGTTTAAAAAAAATGGGGGAGAGGGAGCGACAGACAGGTTAATGAAGTAAACTGAAGAAACAAGAAGGCTGCAGTTGCGTATTCTGTGGCCAGAGAACCATCATTTCCCTGCATTCGGGTGTGTATGAGCTTTTCTGTTTGGGTGCTGTAGGTGAGATGGTTGTGAGAGCAGTGCAGAGGGACACCATGGAAAGGAGTTTGATAGTGCTTTAACAGCTGGCTCATGTAAACAGTAGCATTTACTCAGCCTCATCACCTTTAACACTGCTTGGGGGCTTTTGGGGGAAGGAAGTGTCTTGGTTTGCAATTCAATAGAAATGAGCACCTTATGTGGATTATATTATCCATATGGAGCCATGTAAAATTAGAATTTATAAAAATAAAAAGAAAGGATAATGATAAACAAGCAGAAGATCCAGAGAATAGATGTCTTGGCCTTTTGAATGCTAGAAAACCAACTGTGTGTGTATGTGTGTGTGTGTGTGTGTAGAAGCCTTTGACAAACCTTGCTGGATGTGGGGGTGGGGGGTGTTTTTAGGAAAGTGATCTTTTAAGGTAATCATCACTCTTCTGCTTTACTCTGGGATCCAAGTGAACAACTCAGCGCACTGGGTCTTACAGAACCACCAAGAGCTTTTAGGAGTGTTTACAGCATGCTATAGGCCATTCATTTTGCAGAAGAGAATTAACAATGTGTAGATGCTGCAGTGAAATCAATGTTGCTTTGCAGGGAACTTCTCAGGCAGAAAAGCTATTGCTACAGGAAGAAATGTTGGGGTCTTTTATTGCAGAGAGGCCTTATTAGAAATAATACACATTTGACTTCGATAATTAAGTGTTAACAGCATTTGTTTAGTAAGCAGGCGGTGCTTCCAGTGAACCATGATGGGTATGTTTCACACCATTCATGTACTGAGTGACTGTAAGCTTGTTTACATGGGTTCTTTTTGCTGCATAGCTTCACGATACCCCCATTGCAGCCTCCCCATCCTCTGATATGTTCACTGTGAGTTTTGCAGGACACTTGCTTAAAGACAAAATCAACACTATATGAAAATACAGACTTTGAAGAAAATTATGGCATAGTGTTGAAATTTTTTTGAAGAAAATGCAAATTAGTATATTTTAAATGTTCAGGTGAAGCCTGAAATCAGATTGCTGGAAGACACAGAGCTTCTCATGTAAGGCCAGCTTCAGGAAAAGGGAAAGTCTAAGATAGAATAGGATGGTGCTGGTGTTGCACAGAGCTGTTTATCTTTGCTCACATATAAGCTACCTTTGGTTCCTGTGCCTTGGGGAAAGTGGAGTGCACCATACCTCTGGATTTTAGCCCTCTTTCAGAACACTGCTCTGTAGTCACTAGCTGGAAACACTTTGAAGTAGTATTTTCTTCTGTGATCCTGCTGCTGTGTGCTCACTTTACCTGCTAAGAAAGGTGGCACAGAAATACCTTTTCAATTGGCTCAGCTAATGGCTTTCTCTTTCAGAGATGTAGATGTGAATGGCAAAGGTGATTTGACCTCAGTCATTAAACAATATTCTTCCTCCCTGGCTCTGAGTAACCTGCACTCTTGCACACTGCTCTCTCCTGCTGTTTCAGAGTGCCCATAATTTGTCAGGGTCCTGTTTATAATTTCAATTTTTTATTTTTTTTTTTTGAAGAGTGCTAGAATTGCATGGCAAAAAATTGCTTAACATGAAAAATAGGTTGCCTTCTGCTGCCTGTCTGCTTGCTTGGTATTATAAAATGTCCTCCTCATTGTTAGAAATACATGTATGCAATGAAGGGGCTTTTTATGAGCAGACCTTGAGGATGAGTGTTTTCTTGTAGGTTGTTGTGGTTTTGGTTTTGGGGATTGGGGAAGGGGGTTGGTGGGTTGGTTTGGTGTTTTTTCCTCTCTGTCAATGGTTGGCATGTTTGCAGCCATTATTTAGAGATTGAATACTACTGGATCAATAATTATAACAAAATATCTTCCAGCAGTGTTACAGTACCACATTTGGCTCGGGAAAGCAAAAGGAGAGCTAACAAAATTTTCCTACTGCTGCACTGGGGAATGTCAATAAAGCTCACTTGTAGTTTGCAGTCCATTGCAAAACTTATGCAATTTAAGACAGCTCTAACACACACCCTAAGGAGATAGTTTTAGTATTGCTTCTGCAAACAACATTGTAGTCTTATTTAGATTTGAAAGGCAGAAAAGCTGCCTTTATAGAAAGGTCCACAGATTTAAAATTGCCTATCTCTTATAAACTGTTATTAAGTAGAAGCTACCCAGTTCTTTGGGCAATCCCTGAATAATGGAAAATATCACCAGCTTGATAAATTGCCAAAACAAATAAGGTGGCATTTTGGTTTTGTTGTTGTTTGGTTTTGGTTTTTTTTTTATGGCAAGCATTCTATACCCATAGCCCTTCTCATGCCATTGGTTATATTCTGAGTTTATTATAGCACTGCTAGAAATTATAATATTGAAACCTAGTGATTGAAGTATTACCATAGTTGCTGCTCTGTTATGTCATCAAGAGAAAAGAGACATTTCATTGGGCCACGGTACTGATTATGAATATAACCTGGATTTCATTGCTTATCTTCTGCTACCCAATTCTACGATTCTTGCGTGCTTACTGTTTTGAGGGCTGCTTGCAAAAAAAAAAAAAAAGAATTCTCATAAAAGGGCACCAGTTAGAAGAAAAACTGCTGCATTTGCTATGAGTTCTTAATTTCTTTCTTGCAAAACCTTCTGTGGAGACAGACATAAGAAAAACACTCATGGAAACAAAAGAGCTTTTGTATTCAAGTAACCATCTAAAGTCAGTTGTCTAAAACTGAAAGTAACATACAGCTCTAGTGTGAAATTTCAGGTATTATGGCTATGTTTCCTTTCTCTGATGCTGGGACAGTGAGATTAAAGTATAGATCAAAATCGGTACAGGGACAGAATTTAATAGTCCCCTGTTCACTGTCTGCAAAAATTACACAGCTTTGCTTGAGTAGCTATACTGTCCTTTAGCCTGCTACCTATAGCTTTGCTAGGAAGCTTTATAATCCGTCTTGGCTATTTTATTAAAAGAGAAGGACAGAAAGTCCCAGTACTTTCCAGTTATATGTGTTATATAGAGAGATTTTTAAAGAAGGATTTGGCATGTGAACTCACTAGTGGCACTGGAATGTTCTCCTCAGCTTCATCTGTATAGAAAGGATGTGAAGTCGTGATTTTTTGTGAATCTTATGGTATCCCTAACTATACCTGAACACAGTCAGAACTCCTTTTAAGGCAACAAAGAGGAAGAACAGTTGTTGTATTTTTAGTCTTCTAGGTTCTTTTCTCTTGCCGAAGGAAAAGAGGTTGACAGCAAGAGTGCATACCCTTGCTCACATCACAGTGATGACATAGGAAATTTTGGGTGTTACAGTCTCACAGAATTACTGTCAGCTTTTAACATTGTAATAAGTAGTAAAAGTTGGAGGTCCAGAAGAGCCTTCTAGTCAAGTCAATAACTGCTTCACCAACATTCTACACTAAGAGGTCAGATAACCTAGGAAATTAGGAATTGCTGTTTGAAGTGACACTTCAGAGAGGTTGCGTATTTGCAACTCTTGTTCCAGTGAAGTGGACTGGGCCCTTTTTGGTTAAGCATGTGTTTTCTCATAAGGATTTTTAATCCTTTATCTTTAGTAAATGTTTAGGACTCTTCTGAACTATTTGAAAATACATTGTGAAAGAGTGATAAGAAAATGTTGCCCAAATGTTCCACTTAATGATAGTCACTTAATTTTGTTCAGTGGTTACAGAGAGTACTACGTGCTTGACTATTGCTCCTCCTGTTTGCTGTCTTAATATCATAACAGCTGCTTTCTACCTTTCTTGAGGTTGTCTATAATTTTCTCAGTTGCAAGCCCTTAGTTAATTGAACGTGTTTTGTCACTTATTTTGATGTTTGTTTTTAAAAGTATGCTAATTTGATGAACAGCAATAATTCACAGGCCTTTTCTTTTACGTACGTGTCCATATTACACAGTTTTTAAAGCTGTTCATAATGTCACAATTAAAATTTAATTTCAATCCCTAGGTGCTAGGGAAAGATGACAGTGTACAAACCTCAGCTTGTTACAGTGAAAGTTTATGCTCTTCCTCATTTCAAAGAAAATTTTGAAGGCCTAACATGAGAAAGATATGATAGAAACAAAAAATAACTATTTTAGAACAGTGTTATGATTTTTAGTACCATCCGTTGAATTTTGAATAGTCTTGAACATGAGCTCTTGAGCACAAGAATCTGTCCGCCTTGATTTCTATCTCCCTCTCCCTCCTCCCCTTTTTTTTTTGGGGGGGGAGGGGATATGACTGTGACCTTTCTCTCCCATTGAAGTAACATTTTATTCTGCACTATTCGCTATCTCTAGCCTTTCTTACTTGCACAGCAGAAGGGAAAATATGTCACAGATATTGCCTGTAACTGGATGCATTATGGTATTATCAGGAAAATATTAAGCCTTTGTTACATGATGTTCCAATACTTACATTCCAGGTTAGCTTAGTTTGTGCAGTCTCTCTGTGTCTATCAGACCTGAAAAATAAACCCCAAATGTTTCTTTCTCCTTTTTTTTTTTTTTTTTGTGCTTAGGGCTAGTATTAGAAACCTGTACCAGCAGCAGGTCAGACTCAAATATCAGCTATGGCAACCCATGCATGAAGTTGATGCCTTTGAACCATTTCCTATAGATGAGACATAGCACATGCCGTGGTGAGTCAACAGTGTATTATTTTATTAAATCCTACTACTTGGCCAAAAAAAAAAAAAGAAAAAGAAAAAAAAAGAAAAAAAGGTAAATGATGCCAAAGTGCACGGTGGTTTGGGTTTTATTTCTTGTTGTTTTCTTTGAGAGTTTTTTGGGGGGGAGGAACATTAAAATTACAACTTCTAGTAATTTTCGGTACATGTGAGCCTAATGCTGTCTTTTAAATGCCTTTTAAAAGTGTATAATTTCTGCATTATACATGTGATCATCAGATGGAGCACATTGGGAATAGGATTTTGGTGAAAGTATGAGGGTATCAAAATGATTTTTAAAAACTCTTACGTATGCACATTCTTGGCTTAATATATCCACTATTTTACACCAATTTGTGTAGTTAATATTTTGCATCTCTTTGATTTGGGGTGGGGAGAGGAAAGGTGGGGTTTTTTCTATTTGATATGACTAAAGAAGACTTTGAGGAATCGTGACAGAATTTTCTGACATATAACTCTATCCTTCAAAGAAAAATAGATTGTAAGAATAGTGTTCAAAAGAAAATAGCCTTTTTAAAATACTCTGGCTTTACCTATAAGTCTGCTAATAATTTTGACACCTCTTTCTTATATAATAAGTAATTTTGATCCCCATAATTTCTTTTAGATGGTCTCAGGATACCTTTGGGAGATGAGGAATTGTTTTTAATTGTCCCATGTAATCACAATAGAATTATTGCGAGATCTTGTAATTATTGAAGGTTAACAAATTCTCTCTTCAAAACAAGCTTATATTACTTTTTTTCCCCCTCTGATACCAGGTAGACATTTGTCATCTGCAGGCACCATAACCAGCCATCAGATTCAAAAAGAAGCCACAGATCCAAGTTGATCTGTAGGCTTCAAGTAGATCTTGTGTGATTTGACCTTTACTGGTGGCCAGTGTCAAAACTTATACCTGCTGCTATTACACAAATAAGGTGTAGAGCTACATCTGTTTCTACTGTGTTGTTATTGGTAGATCAGGCAGAGATGGAAACACATAGTACATAGTGACTGGTGGGCAGTAGTGATATGTGACTAATACAACAGTAATTAAATGAGTGCTCTGATGGCATGTTACTTTCATCCTTGGTACAGCTGCTGAAAACAAATGGAACAGGTGTCAGTTAAATGAATTTGACTTTACTCCAGAGCGAAATGAAAGTAGCCTTCCAGTATCTGAAGGGGGCATATAGGGATGCTGGGGATGGACTCTTCATTAGGGACTTGTAGTGGTAGGACAAGGGGTAATGGGTTAAAACTTAAACAGGGGAAGTTTAGATTGGATATAAGGAGGAAATTCTTTCCTGTTAGGGTGGTGAGGCACTGGAATAGGTTGTCCAGGGAGGTTGTGAATGCTCCATCCCTGGCGGTGTTCCAGGCCAGGTTGGACGAGGCCTTGGGTGATATGGTTTATAGCGAGGTGTCCCTGCCCATGGCAGGGGGGTTGGAACTTGATGATCTTAAGGTCCTTTCCAACCCTAACTATTCTATGATTCTATAAAGTAGCAGAAAGCAGTACCTGCTAGTCCAGTGAAATAATCTGTGCTCTCTTGAAATCTAAGGGGTGTTTCCCAAGAGGAGAAGCCAAACACTGGGCATTAATAGTGATTAATAGTGATTTGTGGCATGAAGAGTGGACACAAAAATCTATGTAGAACTTAAAAAGCTCCCTGTATTACTGCTATGATATTTTTAATGTCTTATGGCCTTCAAGGCCTATTGTGTTTGTCCTGAGACAGTTCTTGTTAGCAAGACAGCCTTCATCTTTGTTTAATACTTAGTTTAATATGGACTCTAAAAACCATATGAATATATAACCTTTTTTTCCCCAAATTTTATTTCTGTGCTTTAGAGCATATAGATAACCTACTTGTTGTAGATAATGGAAGTTTAAAATAAACTGGAAACAGCAAAGTGTTCAGGATTTATGATAATTGGTAATGTTGTAAAAATAAAGGATTTTGTTAATATGTCCATAATGAACAGTAGCTAAAGAGAAATTGCATGGAATTTTTATGGCTTTTTTTACACGTTAATATGATTAGCCCATAGTTATAACAGTTCAGTTCCTGTCACCATTAGTGTTTTGAAAATTGCTGTACATGTAGAATATTTTTTTAAGAAGTTGGTGACAATAATCTTCAATCTTAGCAATTTTACATTTAGAAATACATGCAGTGTTAATTTTGGAATACAGTGATATTGCTGACTACAAGCAGTGTGACTTAATCATCTGTCCCTCAGGTCACCAAGATGTCTTAATGTTGTAGCTATTGGTATTGTTGTTTGGTATTTGAAGCAAGTACCAATGAATAGTGTATTGAGAATAGTGTATTGAGTGTATTTTATCTCTGAGTTCAAGTCATCTAAGACACCTAATTCAAGACATCTAAGTCACCTTCTTTAGCTTCGTTCATCTTAGTTTCAGAGTGATGATCAGTACAAATAGCATTTTTTTCAGAACAGTATAGGATACAACTTAAAAAAACGTAGAGATGTCATAGGTAGAGAGTTGCTTGAGAAGTTTTCCTCTCAACTGACATAATTTTAACAGACAGTGAAATGTTTTTAACAGAAATTAAGTAATTCAAGGTCTTGTTCTGAAGCTGCACATCCACAGAAAATGTCTATCATTGTCTTCAGGCAAGTAATACAAACCTTTAGCATGTATGTTTGAAAGCTGGGGCCTTGATATGCAAATTTTTATGCTTTCTGTGCAGATTCTTTCCAGTTAATATTGGTTGTTAAGGCATACAAATCACTTTGAACACATAACTATGTTCTGTATTCAGCCATTTCTCCTTATGAAAATGCAAGTTCTATAACTTGTGAAATGAGAAATTAGGTCTAAAACCTAGCATGTAACTGTTATTCACTGTCAAACAACTTCTAAAAATGGTCAGAAGAAGTAGCATTTGGAGAATAAAAATAGTTCATAGTATGCATCACAAAAAGAGCAGGTAATGAAAAAGTGATTTTATTTTGTTTAACATGAAAATAAGTTTAGTACTATGGTTGATGGGTGTTTTATAAAGCTGAGTTAGTAATTTCGGTAGAAATCATGCGAGAGAGAGAGGCTTTGATATATCTATGCAGATGAGCAAAGTACCTGGGATAAAGTAATTTATTGTAAGCACTTATAGAGTTAACTTACTCAGTTGCATGTTTTTATGAAACATTGCATTAGTTTCTTTATGTTCATTCCTGTGTAAGTGCTAAGTACACAAAGAGAAATTCTAAACTTCATTTACTCAAGTAAATGTAAAGTAGCTCCAGAGAGTTTAGTACAGTTACAAGAGATTTGTGCCAGAGCTCAGAATAGTTTTCTTTGCTAAACCTGCGTTCTGCTCCTCTGCCCTCTGCCTAATAGGAAAAGCCTATTGATATTAAATTTGCTGCATATGATAAATGTAGACTCCTTATCTGTTATCAGTAGTGCTGATAAAATAAGTTTTCCTATTTGAGAACAGTTGCCTTAGTGTATTTCCAAAAGCCATTTATCATGTGACAATTATGTACAAACAAAGGTTTTGCAGAAGTGACCTGTAATTGTCAACACTTTAACTGTTCACCTTCCTTACTCTTCAGGGAGGCTGGATTTTTCCAGAAAGTGCTGAGATCTTCACTTTGAATTACAGACATCTCAGTGGAACCTCTTGATCACTTTTTATTTTATTAAACTCCACTGGAAATGCCTATAAAAGGGAATTGTCCTGCCTTGGCATTATTTTTCTTGTTGGTTTTCTTATTATTTAGTTTAATTATTGTTTGTTTTATTTAGTCTCCTCAGGATATTGTTTTACAGGATTTTTTCACTCCCTTTTAAGCTCAGATTGCATTATTTTTTTATTCTGCTACTTCTTATTCTGGTTCATATCCCTTCTCCCTCCATTCTTGGTTTGTCTTTACTCAACCTTGCAGCCTGTAAGATTAGTATTTTAATTAAATTATATTGAAATGTAGCATTGTCAGCTTTTGCAGTATTTGGGTTTTTTAATGCCCTAGGCTCAGTGTCACATACATATGAAAAACTATGAGGCTTCTTTTAATAAAAAGTAGGTTTTTCATCATTGATCCTGAAAAAAATTTGAATTTCAATATGTGAAAGCTTGAGGCTTCAAAAATGTACAGCCCTTCCACTGAGATTATACCCTAGCGGTATCTCAGAATTTTGGGAGCATAGGCCATGGTTGTTCTCACTGATAATCTCAAAAAATTATTGATAAAGTTAATTGAAAGTGAAGATTTGCTATGCATCTGAATGCTTGTAAAGGCATGGGCATATCTCTGTTCTGTATGTATGGCTGCATTTGTTCAGTAGCCTGGATTGGCATAGGAAAAGTCAACCTATTTGCAAATACAAAAAGTGAAAATTAAAGTATTCTGAAAAATTCAAGTGCAGATTCAAGTCTTCGGGGGATCTCCAGTTATTTAATTTCACTTTGAAATACTAGTGGATCAGATGCTTTTATTCTGTCATATATCAGTCTGTGCTTGTTGAAAAGGGGCGAACTTATGTCACAAGCTTAATACCTCGCTGTGCCAGGTGCGACCTGTGAACATATCACATGAAATACTCATGTCTCTGCTGTATGTTTTGAGTTGCTGATGGAAGAAATAACTGTGCCACCTGGCAGGTTGGTTCAGTATTTGGCAGGCTCCTCTCCCAGCCTTGCAGAAAATATTCAGGACTATTGCTATAGAATATGGGGATAGAATGTCAGGCAAATATTCTGAATCTTTCCGTAGTTCTTTAGTGTGATCTTTATGAGTTGTAGTAAAATAATGTGAGTAGTCTGTAGAAGAATAAATGGAAATGCTAAATCAATAACCAAAAACAGAGTGGTGCCAGCAGAATGGTAGAAAGTAGACCAACACAACAGTAAATTCAGCTATGTTAATGGGTATGTCATATGAACCCATGTTATATAAAGTATTAGGAAGTAATTTGTAACCACAGGGGGAAG